GGGCGACAGTATACAGCCTTGCCGACTCCTTTTCCAATTTTGAACCAATCAGTGGTTCCGTGTCCAGTTCTCACTGTTGCTTCTTGACCTGCATATAGGTTTCTCAAGAGACAAATGAGATGGTCTGGTACTCCCATCTCTTTAAGAACTTGCCATAATTTGTTGTGATCCACACAATCAAAGGCTTTAACATAGTCAATGAAGCAGAAGTAGATATTTTTCTGGAACTCCCTAGCTTTCTCCATGATCCAGCGTATGTTGGCAATTTGATCTCTAGTTCTTCTGCCTCTTCAAAATCCTGCCTGCACTTCTGGTAGTTCTCGATCCACATACTGCTGGAGTCTATCTTGTAGGATTTTAAACATAATTTTACTAGCATGTGAAATGAGTGCAATGGTGCAATAGTTTGAACATTCTTTGGCACTGCCTTTCTTTGGAATTGGAATGTAAACTGATCTTTTCCAATCCTGTGGCCACTGTTGAGTTTTCCAAATTTGCTGGCAAATTGAGTGTAGCACTTTTACTGCATCGTCTTTTAAGATTTTGAATAGCTCAGCTGGAATACTGTCACCTCCACTAGCTTTGTTGTTGCTCAGATTTTCTAAGGCCCATTTCACTTCACATTCTAGGATGTCTGGTTCGAGGTCAGTGACCATCTCATTGTGGTTATCGGGGATGTTAAGCTCATTCTTGTATAGTTCTTCTGTGTAGTTTTGCCATCTCTTCTTAATCTCTTCTGCCTCTGTTAGGTCTCTGTCATTTTCATCCTTTATCATGCCCATCTTTGCATGAAACGTTCCCTTCATATCTCCAATTTTCTTGAAGAGATCTCTGGTCCTCCCTATTCTGTTGTTTTTTTCTATTTCTTTGCACTGTTCATTTAAGAAGGCATTCTTATCTCTTCTAGCTACTCTCTGGAATTCTGCATTCAGTTGGATGTATCTTTCTCTTTCTCCTTTGCCTTTCACTTCCCTTCTTTCCTCAGCTATTTGCAAAGCTTCCTCAGACAGCCATTTTGCTTTCTTGCATTTCTTTTTCTTTGGGATGGTTTTAGTTGCTACCTCTTGTACAATGTTGCGAACTTCCATCCATAGTTCTTCAGGTACTCTGTCTATCAGATCTAATTCCTTAAATCTATTTGTCACCTCTACTGTATATTCATCAGGAATATGATTTAGTTCATACCTGACTGGCCTATTGCTTTTCTCTACTTTTTTCAATTTAAGCCTAAATTTTGCAACGAGAAGCTCATGATCTAAGCCACAGTCAGCTCCTGGTCTTGTTTTTACTGACTGTATAGAGCTTCTCCATCTTTGGCTGCAGAGCACATAGTCAATCTGATTTCTATGTTGATGTCCATGTGTAGAGCCGTCTCTTCGGTTGTTGGAAAAGAGTGTTTGTTATGACCATCGTATTCTCTTGACAAAATTCTATTAGCCTGTGCCCTGCTTCATTTTGTTCTCCAAGGCCAAACTTGCCTGTTATTCCGGTTATCTTTTGGCTTCCTACCTTAGCAGTCCAATCCCCCATGATGATAAGGACATCATTTTTTGGTGTTAATTCTATAAGGTGCTGTAGGGCTTCATAGAACCGGTCAATTTCATCCTCTTCAGCACCAGTGGTTGGGGCATAGATTTGGAATATTGTGATATTGAATGGTTTGCCTTGGATTCGAATTGAGATCATTCTGTCATTTTGGGGATTGTATCCCAGTATTGCTTTTCCTATTCTTTTATTGACTATGAAGGCTACTCCATTTCTTCTGAGGGATTCTTGACCACAGTAGTATACCTGATGGTCATCTGAGTTAAATTCACCCATTCCTGTCCATTTTAGTTCGCTGATTCCTAAGATGTCGATGTTCAGTCTTGTCATCTCTTGTTTGACCACATCCAGCTTGCCTTGATTCATGGATCTTACATTCCAGGTTCCTATAGAGAAAAAATCTTTACAGCATCGGACTTTCCTTTCACCACCAGATATATCCACAGCTGAGCGTCCTTTCGGCTTTGGCCCAGTCGCTTCATTCTTTCTGGCGCTACTAATACTAGCCCTCTGCTCTTCCCCAATAGCATATTGGACACCTTCCGACCTGAGGGGCTCATCTTCCAGCGTCATATCTTTTTTCCTTTTAGTACTGTCCATGGGGTTTTCATGGCAAAGATACTGGAGTGGTTTGCCATTTCCTTCTCCAGTGGATCACATTTTGTCAGAACTCTCTGCTATAACCTGTCTGTCTTGGATGGCCCTGCACAGCATAGCTTATAGCTTCATTGAGTTACGCAAGCCCCTTCGCCACGACAAGGCAGTAATCCATAAAGGGGTTGAGGCACGTAGATTTACCTAAAGCTTCAATAGGTTTTTTTAATTAAATAAATAAATCTAAGTGGCACAAGAGATCATGAGGAGGAGATTTTTAAAATATAGTTCTTCTTTCTCTGTAGTGAACTTCTGAAAATTCTGTCTTTTCCCCAATGAGGCATCACTGTAATTTTTTTTAAAAAGTCCTGTTGCAGACGGGAGGGAGGGAGGGAGGGAGGGAGGGGGGAAAAGAAAGAAGGCAGGAAAGAAGGAAGAAATTCTTCCTTTCCAGAACCAGACTTCTAAAATAAATCTCCCCAGGGCAATTATACATTATCAAAAACATTGATTGTTATTTTAAAAAATCAAATATAATATGGGAAAGAAAAAAGATTGGATATCTAAATAGCTACTTCTTAAAGATTGTCACACTTAATCTGGAAACTTGGAGAAAAACAGTCCTGGTTTAGAAGCTGACCTGTAAACTAAGGTTATACCTGCAGCATTAATAACTTTCTTCAGCATTCAACATTTCTTGGTTCCTGTTTGTGGAGGCATAGTATAAGCAGTTGCTCCAGTACTAAATATCAGTTTATTCTGACAATAAAGATGTTTGTGCTGATTTCAGAATACCGACTAGATTTTCAATAAATGTTTTCCTCCTCATTTTTAAATAGTGTAATAGTGGTGAGTACCGACATTTTAAGAAGTAGTGGTTTCAAATCTGACCTGTACACATTTGTGTGTTTGTATTGATATATGCACCCACACATGTAGAATAGCGGAGAAATGTAAACGCCATTTGTGAAAAACTAAAATTACCTACAGTATATTTCTTCATTATCAATGTTATCTCATCAATACCAAATCTGTAGAGTCCCTGACTAATGGAGATTAGTGAAGGTTACATGCCATTAACCTTTTAATGTTTCTGGATAAGAACTCCCATAATTTCTAGCTGGGATGCCAAGAGAAATGGTCTAGATCCACAGTTTATATACACACTTGCATATCTGCACAATACAGAATGGTGGCAATACTAGTGACAGTGCACTCTGTATTGGTATATAGCACAGCAGGGCTGGCACTGTGCAGTAGCCTGAGCAGGCCATGAGTTTCCAGTCAGTTCTGCATGTGAATATCATTCAGTCTCCACAAGCATCTAGAAAATATTGCCAGTTGTTTTGTTATAATTCAATAATATTTTCTGCCATGACTTAAAGTTCTTAACAGAGGGATATAAGAGAACATCTGAAGTACAAGTATTTTTGCAAAGGGAAATACCAAGAAAGCAACATTAACACATTTCAAAAAGAGCACTTTCTGTTTTAGTTCTAGATCTTTACTTTTTAATCATCTGGTAAAATCAAATCCTAATGTTTAAATTTGCCCAATAATTTGAATTTAGACTACTTCTCAAGTATTTTTACCTCCTTTTTAAAAAGAATTTTTTAAGTAGATACATTTTGTATCACTTGAAGTCAGTTTTGAAAGGAAAACATCTTAAATTAGTATATTCCTTAAATTCCATATATTATAAGGTGGGATTGTTATTATTATCTATGATGGGATAATTTATACACTGAAAAGAAATAACATTAATGAGATAAAAAGTTCTGGAAAGTCCAGGGGAAGGCATAGGAGTTTATGGTAGCTTTGAATCCCTGAAACAGGATCCATTATTTTGTATTTAGAGTGAACTGCTTATGAGTTTATTGTGGATTTAAGCATTGGGGGGGGGGAGTCAGCCAGAAGCACTGTTTTTGAACTCAGTTGGGTCACAGGAACTTTCTCTGTACTCCATTCTAATTTGCAGTTTTGCTATAATAAAAGTCCCAGATATATTGCTACTGTCTAGACATTTTATCTGAAACAAGTGTCCTTCCTAATCCCAGAGGACTTTTCTATTTTATTTCCAGTAAATCAAAGTCTGTGAAGAGCTTTGGTTCTTATTAAGACATACCCTTCACAGTCCAGTGATTGCCAACAGTGGCAAACATTGACAGTTCATTTACATATAAGTGATGACTTTCATTGAGTAGTTGGCCAAAAAAGCAGTGGACATGCAGAGAGCATAGCCAATATTTCTTGCTCTTTGATGAGGATTGAGTGCCAATTTATTTATAGAAAGGTAAGATTTCTTTTTACCATCCACAAACTCAGGTTTGTTTTTTGTTTTTGTTTTTTTTTTTGCTGTTTCCAAATGTAGGCAGCAGTCTTACAAAATGTCTGCATCTCAGTATTCTCTAGAGTCATTATGTCTCAGGAAGATGACAGCAATAGTCCTACAACTCTGATGGACCCAGTTACAGCTCAGTGGGAATTTTTTTAAAAGAAACTATCTTTAGTGAAATAAACTATTTTTTTAAAAAAAAAATAAAGAACACAAGACTTTTGAGATCAAAAAGCACCAAAGGGCTCTGCAAATTAAAAAATGCTGTTCTAATTATAAGATGGATATATTATCATACACTATATCCCGTAGCAAAATAATATAGTCTCCTGCATTATGATTCATATAAATAAAATGAAATTGTTTTACAAAGTAGGTTTTTTAACTTACATGTATTGTTCCTATGCATGTAGGAATTTTAAGTCTAGCTTAGACTAAGGAGATGTATTTTTCATTACAATATTGGGAATTTCGAATAGAGGAAAACTGAAGTTAGAACTAAGATTTTACTTTATCTTTTAGAAGTTGCTGTAAGGTTCATGGTGGTGATTTGCTTCCTGACTTAGTCACTGTCTTCTAAAACACTTTTTCCCTCATCTTTCATTTGCTCCTTTTTCTTTCTTTCTCGTATTGATGCAGCTACTAGAGCACCAGCAATTCGAATATCAGCTGATTTTAGCACTGGGTGGCCTCTTGCTGTAACATAAACAGATATATTGATTAGCTAAAGGGAACATTAGTAAGGATGATTCTAAACTGAAATTATAATGGACAAAGATAACTAAAGTGGTAGATTACTTATATGAAGAGCTATGTGAACTACTACACATTTCACTGATACAAAGCTCTAATATTGCAAAATATTAATACTGTACATTGTAAAATATGCATGATTAATAAATCAGATCCACTGATATCTAGCATGAGATATTTTGTTACTATGGGTTGTTATTATACGTGGCAATATTTCCTTGGCTAATGTATGATATGCTTTCTAAGCTAATTTGACCTTGGGTTTTTTTCATGAGCTGAAGAAGACTTTTTAGAATATTCTACGAATTTTTTTTAAAAAATTAGTAAAGCAAACATTTCAGCATCAGTAGAAAAGTAACCATGAACTGTGATAATAAACTTCAAAATAGTAAGAGCTTCACAGGTACATAGTGGAAGTTAACATAAGCAATGTTAAGCAAGTAAGTGATGGAGCCTATCTTCCTGTAGATCAGGGGTTCTCAACCTTGGCAACTTTAAGATTTGTGGACTTCAACTCCCAGAATTCCTCAGCCAGCAAAGCTGGCTGAGGAATTCTGGGAGTTGAAGTCCACAAGTCTTAAAGTTGCCAAGGTTGAGAACCCCTGCTGTAGAGGGCAGGAAAATTTTCCCAGAATTAGAGAATTAATACAACCTATGCTGTGATAGGAAGTTATCTTCAAATTAAGTTTGTAGCAAAACAGACAAGGGAGAATTAGAATTAGAAATTCACCTCTTCTTTAATTAAAGGCCTTAGGAAATATATTACCCAGCCCAGAGATTGAAACAACCCTAGAGTCTTTTAACTGTGGCTAGCCATTTGGGAAAACTATTATCTTGAGAGGCAAGGTATGAATAATTGTAATAACATAATAATGACTATGAAAACAGAAATCAGTATGGAATTTGTATGGATCAGGACGTTGTTGAGGAAGGGGTGGCTGAAGTCATGGGTATTATAGACTGGTCCCAAGTAACTATTAGTTGCTGCTTCAGGAAAAGTTACAGGGAGTCAAAGACGAGCAGGCCTTATCAGTTGGGCAGCAGTCATGTCTATCTTTCTAAGTCTGAAGTACTTGCAAATGGGAGCTTAGCTGCTGCTGAATGCACTGGCTGTTCATACCATTTTTATGATAAGAAAGCCATTTATTTTGCTTTCAAACAGAACTGAAATGTAGTCATGAATAAATGAGAGAAACTGAATAAAAATAAATTTGGCACCAGGATCTTAGATCATGTAGACAGCCAATGAATGATTTCAACATTCAGCAAGTTGGACCAAACATTTATTTTAAAAAGCATTGGCAATTACTTGGATGGAAAGTATAAATTCTAGTTACTAATTTATATAGTAATGCAATTTTCTATTTCTGGGACTTTACTGTATTTAGTAATTAGCAGTGACAGTAGGCATGGCAATACAAAATTATAGTTGCTCAGATTCAAAATGTTTAAATATTTTTTAAGAATGTGATTAAACTAGTATTATGCATTCTTGTTAACAAAAACTGTTAGATTAAGAAAAAGTTGAATTGTAGGTACTTAAATGTACATATTACAGAATTTTTTTTCTAATGCATGAGAGTATATTTCTAAATAGATAATATTTGCTATATTTTAGATTGAATCAAAATCGAAGATCCTTTTTGTTGGCCAAAACATCAAAACAGCTATAGCTGTATAGAACTTCCTGACATTTTCTTTTTTTTTTATTGAAAATGTTTTACATTTTACAAAAACAAATCCCCTTCCCATACCCCCCCCAACCCTACCTCACCCCCCCCCCTTCCCAACCTCCCAAACCCTCCCCTGGACTTCCTAGAGCTGAGTACAGGCTTAATTAAAAAAAAAAAAAACTTAAAACACTTTTAAAACCTAAACAAATTTAAATACAATCATCATTCTATATAAACTCCCTCCAAAAACACAAATTTAAACATTACTTTCTTTGAATATCTATATCTATAGTGTAAAATCTAATTTCTCCCTCTTTCTTTATCCTAAAATGAAAAAATAAACATATAAACCTTTGTTATACCATTAAAACTAAATACTCTTAAAAAACTTAAAGTAAATACATATTTCCTTCAATCTTCATAATCTTCTCTCCTATCCAAAAAGAAAAAACTTAAAAAACCTATAAGTCCTAAACAAATCTAAGCACATTTAATTAAACAAATTATTTTCTCTTAAAAATATTAATAATAATATTTAAAAACTAGAAACACTTTTAAATCCTAAACAAATCCTGACATTCCTGGCATTTTCAAGATAGAGATTTTAACGCCAACTATTCAGAATTTTTTGAAAGTATTGAAATAAATATATGAGACTCAGCAATGCATTCTGAAAAGTGAGTTAGGAAATTCCCAAAGGTTGGTACTGAGTTATAAATAATCAGAAGAACCATGAAATAACAAAATTCATTGAATAGCTTCAATTCATTCATAATAAATGTCCAGATCCATTGCAAATTTATATGCTGTCAAGAGTCACTATGTATAGTGAGAGAGGTAACACATACAATTAATAAATAAATACATAATAAATAAATAATAGTTTGGGATGATTTCCTCAGACTAAACCAAAAGTTATCAAAAGAGAGATGAAACGTAATGTAAGGAAGCACTGAGATATTTGCAGTTTGAGAAAAATCAACTGTAATTTGGTAGATGCATTAATACAGTTTATACTATTTATAATTAACCATGAAAAAAATATCCATGTAATTTTTTTTTTAAAAAAATGGTCTGTATCTATGAAAAAAGCATATTTGATGTGAGGTAATGTTAATAAACAGCATCATAATTTTATTAAATACATTTCTGATGTGTTTATACTTGAAAATATTTGTGCAATTTTAAACCATATCTCAAAATATGGTTTATATCCCAGCATAGCTCTTTGTTCATTTGTAGGAAGAACTATCTGATCAGGCAGGTGGAACATCTCCCTTTAAAATACTTAAAGAGTGGGCTTTTATTTGTAAGAGAAAGGGGCCACAAAATAAAGGCATGATATCATATTAAATGTTAACTGACAAGGGACTGATTTTTTACAGGATTATATAATAACCACTAATTAACCAGTGGAACAGCTTGCCTTCAGAAATCGTGGGTGTTCCATCACTGGAGAATTTTAAGAAGAGACTAGACAGTCACTTGTCTGAGATGGTATAGGTTCTCCTGCTTGAGCAGGGGGCTGGACTAGAAGACCTCCAAGGTCCTTTCCAGATTCTATTCTATTCTATTCTATTCTATTCTATTCTATTCCATTCCATTCTATTCTGTCCTATCCTATCCTAAAGGAATTTTAAAAGATAAATATTTTAATGAAAAAGAGATTTATAAAGTAACCTGTTACCACAATGTTCAAAAATGGAATATCCACACTGTGGGGCAATGTAGCTCAATGTCCTATTCTAAACTTTCAACTGCAAATATATAATTATATAGATTTTCAATTTAATCTAACAGAGATCATTTTTTTAAAAAAAATAAATCTCTATAAAATACCATCCCAAACCAAAAGGGGAAAATTGGAATCCAGAATGATAAACGAATAAAGGGAAACAGATGGAAGTCATAACTGCAAGAAGCCACAAACTAAAAATTCTTTTGGCAGTTTATGTGAAAAGCTAAACAGACTTTTATAAAATACTGTATTAGCAGGGACACAAAAGAATCACTTTCTATTTTCTTAAAAATAAGACTTGATATATTTGACAGAGACTAGCATTTCTTTTGTACAAAAATTAAATTTTGTGCTAAAATTATTATCTGATATAAGGTTATTCTGAATAAATTGTTCCTGCGACTTTGTTAGCAGTGTACAAATGAATAGGCATATGGCTCAATTTTCACTGGGCTTGCAAAGATAATTGTTTTGCCAACTATTTAAGCTTGTTACATGGGGGCTTTAGGAGGCAGGCAAGGACGGTGGGGGAGGCACATGAACAAGCTTACACTGACCCGTTTTTCTGCTTGAAAGGTTATAAAGTGCTTTTAAGGTATCTTGAATCTTCATCCTATCATGTCCTTTCCCAAATTTATGCCTACATATATGCAGGGTAAACTGCAGTCCAAACCTAGGTCCAAGTGGCTTTGTGCCTCTACAATTTCCTCTGCTGCAACATTTTTAAATATCTACAATAACTTAGTGTTTCTCAACTTTAGCATGTCAGTTCTCATATTTTTAAGACTGTTTAATTCATTATTTTGGGTACCAAGATGCTGCTCTACTCCAGTAGGAAGGAGAGCAAATTAATGGACCTGTCTACTCTTCATTAATTCCTTCCTAGGATTAATCCTGCTAAATATTCGGTATTAGCATCTCCCACACTGCCTGGTATCAACATTCCTCAGTACATATTCAAAAAGCTTGGGAGCCTGATAACCTGTTGTACCAGAAGAACATACAAAGACTTGCCCTCTGAAACCATTTATTAACAGCCTTTATCCAAACCTATATAAAGCATGTTGCAAAGACAACTGACAATTGCCAAAAAGAGAGCATGCAATTAGTATCTGAAATAATTGTGATTATGTTTTGTGCTAATATTAGCACTTTAAAACAGAACAATAATCCCAGACTGCATTATTGTGAAGGCCACTCAGCTGGTGATACAAAGCAATGGATAACAGTTCTTGATTGTTCATTACATTTTGATGCTTTGCACAAGCAGACCCCCCTCATTCTTATATAAATATAAAGCACTTCAGAATTAGTATTTTATTGTAGCATCAATCATACAAACTATTGTAATATTTTCAGTAAGTATCTATTAACACAAAGTTTTATTTAAGTTTGGTTGCATGCATGGATGAAGTGAAGGTGATATTCTTTCAATGGTTAATGGTTCTTTCCTATGAAGCACAAGTTATAAGGAGCAGAAAGTTCTCAGTTAAGATCTTGGAGCCAAGCACCTCACCTTTACTTGACATCTC